ATTGAGACAGTGTCGGGGCATTCACGAGCGAGATTAGGTATGTAATCTCATAAGGGTCAAGCCTAGGCAGGGCCCAAAATAAGTCGTTTTTTTACCCTTCGGGGGAAAAACGCTGAATATTATCACATAACGGACATTTAACTCAAGAACAATTAATGGCCGTTTGCGCCGAATATCTATTAAACGACGTTTTGTTAACTACTTACTTAAATACTTTAAGTATTAAACGTAGATTAAAATTACAGTCATTGTACGGCGTTTTCTTTCGGGTAGATTAGGTAATCAAAGCTTAAAACAATTTTTAGTATGTCAAAAATAAAAGTACAACATAACTCTACAATTTAAAAGTGTTTTCAAATCAATAACAGCAGTTGACTTAGATATAGATCAAGACGACAAGAGTTAAAAAAAAGAAGCCGAACAACACATTTCACAACATACGAACAAATGTCTATAATTAATCTTGTTTCTACATACAAAAACATAGCTGAAAACAACGGATAATGTAACTACATAAGAAAAAAATAAGGCAAATTACTCGAAAATGTAATGCTATTGAGCAACTTTTAGAAATAGTGACACATTGAGAAGACTGTATGAAAATCACAAAAAGTATGCAAGGAAAACAGCAGCGGAAGAAAATAAAGAATTATATCTGACTGGCGCGGCTACAAAAGTGAAAAAAGAAGCTTGTCATTTTGTTAATTATTAATGAAAAATATGTTTTTGGTCTGTCTAATAAATTTGATAGCAACAATCAAGAACCATCATCAACTTGCACAAGCAATTTAAGTTGTACTAGTGAAGCTATTGAAATTATTATTGATGATGGTGATGATAGTATTGGAGAGAAAACCATAACTGACTTAGGGTTTTCCACTTTATCGTCAGGATATGTAAAATCATCGCCATAAGACACCTATATTTTCAGATCATTTACGGAGCCACAAAAAGGCAAAAAAAGGTTAAAGCAACCAAAAGGAGTTGATTTAAGGGGCCGATCTATAAAAAGATCTGACAAATGCACCGTCTGCTACTATGGAATCATCTTCTGCTTCACCTGTACAGTCTTCACAGGAAAACACAAATAGTGGTTCTGCAGAACATTTGTATTAGGGCTACTAGATATGCCTTCTGTGAATGAGGAGAAGCAGCCAGTAGCAGAAAAAGATAACGACTCCTTAATAAGCAGGATGCTTAATCCTTCCCAAAGAGATATAATGGAAGCTGGAACTTCAATTTGAGAAACCACCACTGTCTTAGGTAAACTATTTTTTTAACTACATTACAATATTTTATTTATATTAAATATTATAGTAATTTTTTTCCACTCATAGGTATACAAAGTATTGATATAATTTGATAAGCAAACCTGAGAGATTTACCTAGAACACTTGCTCCCCCTGTATACGCTGTTCAAGGAAAAATATACCATCATATTTCTAATGTAAATGTAAATGAACCACTAAGGCGCGTTTAAATCTGACACTTACGACATATTTATGTCAGACAGGCGTATATACAGGGTGTCCAAAATATTGTAATTTAACCAAACTTACCTATATACAAAGTTGCACCCCTGAGGATTATTATAAGCCCCCAAAGTAGGGCCCTAAATTTCGAAAAAAATTAATATCTGCAACACTTTTTCGCAGAAGAGCCAAATTTGGTACGTGATTTAAGTTTCTTACTGGCCTTCTTTGACTATGATTTAAAATTAATCGAAGCACTATAAGATGTTCATTGGGGATGACTCACCCCTAAAACTGTACTGAACTTTTTTTTCACTGACCGAATTGAAAAATAATAATATTAATTCACTTCTGCTACTAGATGTAAACACTGATTATTTTCATGTTTTAACTCACATGACACATATGTCCGTAATTGAACAGCGGTCTACTTTTGAATAAGTGTCGCGACATTGAAGGTACCATGAGTGGTGTAAATATTAACAAAAAAGAGTGGTTAAAAGCCGAAATTGACGAACTAACTGAGTTATACAATGCGAAACCCGAATTATGGGACAGTAAAAGTAAAGTAAAAAAGCAAAATACTTTCATTGAAACCTCAGAAAAGTTTAATACTACTGTAGAAGAAATTACAAGGAAAATCCATAACTTAAGGAACCAGTTCAATACTGAATTGAAAAAAAAAACACACAGAAAAAAGTGGAGAAGGCACCAACGAATTGTACATTTCAAGATGACCGTACTTTAATTCCCTTTTGTTTTTACAAGGGGTGTTATATTGTAAAAGTAAATATTTAAATTTGGAGGTATTATGTTTGTAGCGCCATCTGTTGTGGCAATTGTGAATTAGGCACCAGGGCTAGAGCGCACGAGCGCGTTTCAGTTTAGTGTGAGTTTAAGTCTAAGCAATGTAGTACGTAATATTATTAAGCAGAATAAACTTAAGTACAGAGAGATCGAGAATGATTGACCGGATTCTGAACGTACCCTGTCCCAATGGCTATCAAAACTGATATCCGTTTGCTAAAATTACTTTTTTTTCCGTGCGATATCATGGTGTTCTGTGGCGATTTCACAATTTGACGTTCTGTTCATTGGCGCACGGATTTTTTGGCTTGAATATTATTTTGTAGATTTTGTTGTTTTTGCGACATTATAAAGCAGTATTTTATTTTTCAATACCAGAGTTAGAGTAGGTGGATATTATACGTGAGTAATTAATTTATTGCGTATGTTCCCTAACCTAATCGGTTTTTTAATTTAAGTTAAGATCATGGCATTTTCATTAGAACATGATAAATTTCTTCTGGAGGCCTATTTTCGTAGTGGACAAAACAATGATAATGGTTGGAAATATTCGATGAATTTGTGTCATTTACAATTTCAAGAACAATTTCCAAATGATGAAATTGATGATTATGAAAGTTTTTCGACACGTGAAGAGATTAGTGGTAGAGGAAAATCTCCAGGCAGAAAGTCTATTCTTACAGAGGAAATCTTGGAAGATGTTGAAAACCGCTTACGAGCTAATCCAACCAAATCATTACGTCGGTTATCTGCTTAAACAGGTAATAACAAATATTTATTATAAAATTTGTATCATTATTCCTAAATTGTTTATAGGAATATCATATGGATCATGCCATAAAGCAGTAAAGAAGTTGCATTTTCATCCTTATAAAGTTAGTGTTGTGCAGGAACTACTTCCGTTAGATTTTGGAAAACGTGTGCAATACTGTAATTGGTTTAACGAAAATCTGAATGACGACGATATTCTAGATCTAACATTTTTTTCTGATGAAGCGTGGTTTCATTTAAGTGGGTACGTAAACTCCCAAAATTATCGCTCTTGGAACACAGAAAACCCTAATATTTTGCGTGAAACAACTCTGCACCCTATTAAACTTGGTGTTTGGGTAGCTATGTCACGTAGAAGAATAATCGGACCATATTTTTTCCGTGAAAATGTAACTGGGCAGGTATATCGGCAGCAAATATTGTTACCATTTTTTGAGGAACTTCACGACGATGAAATCCATCATGGATACTTTCAGCAAGATGGCGCAACAGCTCACACCTCTAACGAAACTTTAGAGTTGATTAGAGAGTATTATGATGATCGAATAATTAGTCGAGATAGATGGCCACCACGTTCTCCTGACCTTACACCCCTAGACTATTATTTATTTGGTTTTTTAAAAAATTCAGTATTTGCTCAACGGTTACACACGATTGAAGAACTTCAAGAGGCAATTACAAACGAAATTAGGAGTATTACACAAAATGTTTTACAGAATGTATTTAATAATATGAAAAGAAGAATTAATACCTGCTTGAACAACAATGGACATCATATTGAACATTTATTGTAAAAATATAGATATTTTTATGGATTTTATGTAATTTTAAGGTAAAATATTCAATAAAATGTGAAAAAATTCCAATTACTCTGTTATTATATATTGCATGTAACTGTTGTTTATTGCTCTCGGTCATACAGACAATCCTACCATCTAACATAATCAAGCACTTCCAACTGCTTGCATTTGCTTGAAGCAAATTTTTTTAAGACACTTTTCCTGAATTTCGACAGCTAACTAAAATGTTCAGCATAAATTTTTGGGCTGGATCGCTTGCGCTGGATATTCAGAAGTGTGAAAGCAGTAGCTGCAAAATAGTCGTCTTATAAGCATACAGCAGTTTGCTTTGATGAAAAACAGCAGCTTGCAGCGTATCGCTGTATAGCTGAATCGTCTTAGATGCCAAGAATGTAGCCACAATAGTGCTTCTGTTTTAAAATTAACTCATAACGTTTTAAAAATAAAATCGCTGAAGCACTTACAGTCGTTATTCAAAATTAGCTACATCAAACTTTGATTTAAAAGTTTTTCTAATTGTAAATGAAATAAGAATTTTGGAAAAGTTAGGCTAAACCTACATTTGATTCTGTCATCCTCTTTAATAATAATAACAATAATAACATTTATTGGTCCATCAGTATTGCTTAATTTGTGAAATAACTTTGATTTTTGTTAAATAATTGATATTTTTATTATGAATTTCCATTTTGACAGTAACCTAATTTATTTGACGTTTGAACGTAATTATTTGTTTACCATTAAAATCCCTCAACCTGCGCTCATGATTCTAGTATTGGTAACAAAAATTGGTATGCCGCACATCAAAAATCAGTATGAGGCGGCACGGTCAATCATTCTCGATCACCCTGTACAACAAAAGTTCAAGTGTTTTAATAAATAACAGAAGACGATAATACAGTCCATTTCAAATAATTAACAAGGGAGTTCTATGCAGATCAGCAGTGGGAAATATAGCAACGGTAAGATAACTCTTTATTTCAACTTTTATTATTTACATTAATTGGTACTGCCACGGAACTTCTCCTTGGGGACTAACAAAATATTCTCGGAACTAGTCTCGTATTTGTTTTGCATCACTTGAATAGTTAGTACTGCCTTGCTGACAATTCGGGCTAAGAAGAATCGGTTTTCGTAATACACTAAATATGCTAGACATAAGACCAAATGCATTCTCTTGCTCTGGAAAGCCTGTAGTTATAAATCCTCATTGAACCTTCACTGCTGAATTGATATGGTTTCATTATACATGTGTCGTAAAGCAAAAGTATCATTTGCTACGAATATGTACGAATACGTATTTCCGTCTAGGAAGGTATGTCTTTTCCAATATTTTTGATGCAGTGTAACGCCAACTGCAGTTATGAGAAATTTATATTCGGCATCAACCACTGCTATTAAGACCGTACTATGCTGGCCTTTATAGTTAAAAAAATAACTACCGCTATTGTGTGGCGCTTGAACAAGAATGTGCTTACCGTCGATAGCTCCCAGGCATTTTGGAAAGTTCCATTTCATTTCAAACTTCTTGATAACCTTTTGCCGTTCTTCTGGTGTAGTAGGTGTCTGTAACAATGTAAACTTTGTATAAATATGTTCATTTCAAAACATACACCAAAAAAATATATATTTGTTTACAGGATGATGCGGAAAATATTGAGATTGAAGTACAATTGGAAAACCCGAGATATCTCGTTTCATCAAAATGATACGGAGAGAAATACACCTACAGGCTGTAAAGACACAAAGCAAAAGTCCGATGTACGTCGCAAAAGCTAAAGAGAAATGAAGGATCACAGCAAAACGATGTTTTACAAAAAGCCTTACGCGCTCTGGGTGAGAAAGATCAGTATGACGTTTTTGGCAAATGTGTTGCAATCGAAATGAGAAACCTTTCGTCAGAATATTTACGTCGAAAAATGAAAAGGAAATTTCAAAAAATTATATTGGAAATAAATGACGACGAAGAAGAATTACTTTCCGTTCCTGTTTCCAATGCTCCTAGATCGGTTACCAATACTTACAGCAATCATAGTTCAATCGGAAATGCTTATTACAGCAATCCAAGTTCGGTTGCTTCATGTGTGGGCCACACCAGCTTCTCAAATCTATCGGCGAGTTTAAATCATATAGAAATGGGACAATCGTTGGCATCATATTTACACAATGAAACGGAAAACGAAAGTATGTATGTATTCATTAAAACTGAAATAAATCTTTAAATGCTTACCTTCATGTAATTCATTAAAACAGAAATAATTGCTTTACAGACTTCCGGGTCTGTTAAACTTATTGTACACTTTGGAATTCGGAACAAATAGCTCAAGCTGGCATATAAATCACCTGCAATAAAATAATAATTTATTATACTACTTTATAAATGAGTATGCAGTTCAGTGTTAATTAGAACTCCGCCATCGCTATATTTCCCATAAGCTCCTACATTTATCATAATAAATTTATTATGCGCGTCGCTTATAGCCGTGCTATGGAAAAATAGTTCTTGTAGTTGTAGTACAAGCTACCAGAAGAAGAGGAGCACCTAATTCTCATATGCTTACCGTCGATGCATCCTAGGCAGTTTGGTAATTTCCATCTGTCGTAAAATTCTTTGGCTATGTTTTCGAAATTAGATTTCGTTGGAAATTTTCCACGAAGCTTTACAAATTTTTATTACTGTATTACTAACTGCAGTTTTGTATACGTGAAAAGATAACCCCAGTTGTCTAAATGCTATTCCAGTTGCCAAATATCTGAAACACATATTTCAGATATGCAACTATAATTAATTTTCGCAAAATATACAGGGTGATTCAAATGCACTTTGACAAATTTCGGGAAATGATTGCTAGCATTATTTTAAGAATAAAAAGTTCTTATAAGCAATGATTCTTGGCGCTTTCGTTACGGAGATACAGGGTGTTGAAATATTAGCAAAAAAATTACTAATAATTTTGGAATAACTCCGAAACGCGCTGACTGCTTTATGTAATTTGGTGACTCAAATAACCACCTAAAGACCCCAACTTTTTTTTTTCAGAAGATCGATTAAAGACAAAGTGTAAGAATCTGAGAGATGTATATCAGAAGGAAATTAAAAAAGTTAAAAAACCACGTTCTAGTGATCAAGGAAATTCAGAAACTTATAACGGAAAATGGTGTTATTTCGATAGAATGGCTTTTTTGAAGGATACGGTTACTTCTCGTCGTACAGAAGGAAACTCTTCTGTAGGTTCAGAAAATGCAATGAAATGGGCACTAGAACTGAATTCAATGAATCACAAACACAAGACGATGATCCTGAATAACCAACACAAGAAATCACACACTGCTTGCCTGACAGTAACCAACTTAGTCAAGAAGCTGAAGATTCTATGCGGGAAGTCGAAAATTCTACACCACAGATATATCAGTCAATTCAGGGTAACAGATGAAGTTCACCAATTCACACCACAACATCAGAGACAGACACATACACCTCAGGTACAAACCAATCAGGCTCAGAAGCAAACACAATAATCCATGCATCCAGTGCCAGCAACACTTACATCTTCGTCGCAAAAGAAGAAAAGAAAAAGCGAGGCTGAGACAACGTCATTCGAAAAAGCGATGCTCTCAATTGAAGAGAAAAAGATTGCAGCGCTAAATAATAATATCGATGACGATGCAGACATGATATACACAAATCACTATTAAACGTACAGTTAGCGAATTGAAAAACCGGTGACACAGGAAATGACATGAATTATAACCTCTCTGTCCAGTCATTTTATTCGTCAAATGTACCATAATAATAACAATTTAATTGTCAATTGGGACCCCACGTACTCTATTTTGGTGAGGTATACAGTAAACCGTGGACCCACTGCAGTCTACAGAGGCAATTTTTGGTCTCTTAGCAAATTATATTGGGCGTGCCTTACCGGTGATTTCAAGGCAGTAATATGAGAAGGTAAGCACATAGTTTGTTTTCTCTATCTCATGTAAATCTAAATGCAGCTTACTTTCCTCATTACGCCATTGTCAATTAAATTTCACCAGATTAAAAAATGGTTAACTTGAACTTTACTGTATATGGGCTGTCAGCTACGCCCATACAAATTTGAACGGTTAAATTTTAGAACTTTTATCGCATTATAGATGACACTGTTACTCTACAATTTATGATTCTAATTTTCTCAAATACCGTATGATCTTAATAAACCGTACCTCTCATTTCCTCGTATTACCGGTTTTTTTTCTATACCTTATTTCGAATATTATTTTAATGTATGGAATATTTAAATAGTCTTTAGTCACGAATTTAGTAAATTTTCCTTTATTTTTTGTAATCTTTGAATATTTTCACTTTAATCAGTTGTAGATTAATGTAAATATTGGATACACATATTAGTCTAATAGTTTAATTCAGCAGCGTTGTCACTAAATCAATTTTAACCTTTAACTTTGAACTAAAAATAACAACTTTTACAACCTCTGGAATTAATAACTTAAACCAGTTTGTTGTTAACCTTTACTTGCATTATTATTTTATCAACTGATCTAATATCCTGTGTTTGTATTTACTTGACTAAGTGGGACATCTGTTAACTATTACCTGGACACCATCACAGTCTATGGAGGAGGTTTTGTTATAGACCTTGGCAATCAAACCCAAATTGTCCTAGGGCAGAGGTCCTGAAAACGATGTGGAACGTTTTCCACAGCTGGAACCCTGCTATCGAGGCAACCCCCCAATACGATCTCAACATTTCAGGATCCATCAACGTGCGAGTTACGTAAGCTAGTCAATTTATCTACGTCGCTTATCAGTCCTTGGTCAAAGCCTTATGTAAACATGAGTTGAAATTTGAATTTAGTTAAATCTAACTACTCAGATGTTTAAAATTCCAAATAGGGAAACGGCGTATAATATCGACCAGGGGGTAAAATCGATCACCTAATTATTAAAGACAGTAATAGTGGCAACATCGGTAACAAAGATTCCTATCTTCTAATAGATACTCAATACGAAAAGCCGCCAAATTATACAACGTACCTTATGCTACATTACAAGATCGCATGAAACGTTACCCAAAAAAAAATTAAATTGTGATAAAGTCTGTATTTCTCAGGAATAAGAAATAGATTTATGCAATTACGTCTTAAAAGTAGCAAATTTGTATTATGGACTAACTTAAAAAAAATCAGACAAATGACTTATGACTTTGCAGTGTCTAACAATATTAGACATAACTTTAGTTGTGAAACAAAAATGTGTGGAAAAGAATGGCTGTATAATATTTTACGTCGTAATCCACAAATTTCATTACGACGACCGGAGGCTACTAGTTTAAACAGAATAGTAGCATTTATTCATGACAATGTTAATTTATTCTATGATAATCTGGAGCTTGTTATGAAAATTTCATCCGCACATAATTTTTATGTGGATGAAACTGGTATCATTTCTATCTAGATGTATACATGCATCCGAAATAGCGACATAGGATATTTATGTCCACACAGAAGTGTCAAACGTAAACGCACCATTACAGAGCTATGGACCTATTTATTTTCTACATCCAGATATAGCCGTTAATACCACAAAATAATAATAAAATCTTTGACAGACGATTGATTGTTATCTTAGAGCAGTTACTACGAGATGAATATCCCTATACCAGAGCATACATGCATTTACGAGAACGTTACAATTTTGAACTGCAAACAATTAAAAGGCTTCGAGCAGAAACCTTTCAGAACAATGTAGAACATCTTTGCATATGCCTGTCATCACATTAGCCTGCTAAGTGTTCGAGGAATGAACATACGACGGTATGATTTACCTAGAGTTGAGGAGGTTGCAGCTGTATACAATACAGATACGCCAGTAACTCCCAATATATCTATTTATATATGTGGAACCCACAAGATTCCAAAATGTATGAGTCCCGTTGGTTTTTCGTTTACTGTTTCCTCACGGAGAACCTGGGTGGTATATAGGAATCCCTTACAGACGTGGTAACCGCAATGTAACATGTGGATATTATGCCTATCGCTTCGGAATTAGTGATAGCGACCTCAAATTTTGCGTATAGAGGCAGACTAACCCAACAATTTGCCGCCTCCACTTAAAATTATTAAAATTGAAAATACATATATTACATAACCAAGAAAGGTTAGAGCTACGGAACATGTTGGATTAATAAACTACCTCCATCGTAGAGTTCAAAAAGATAACGAGAATGATGAAGCTACAACATTGGGTATAATGGTTATTTCGCCGTCAACATTAAGGTTCACTCCGCCATCAGCAGTAACTCTTTCAAGATGCCATGGCGGTAGTAGGCGTTTTGGTTTACCCAGCCTTTTTTCACTATGATGGCCAATGCTCGGTGGATAGAGATAGTGGACAATATTCCCACAGGTCAATCAGCAAATGACCATCCGTCACTCATGGTTGGAGTATTCCAAAGTATGACTATCGACTTCGTGTATATCTACCCAATGGACAAACAGTTCGATTTCAACGTGGATTCGAACTACAAGCTATACAAAACAACGAAGTTACACAACTAACGGTATGATTTTTGTTAAACCAAAATGAAGCAGAAGCGCGACAATATCTGTATACAGATATTCTGTACCATTACGTATGGAACAATAGAACTAAACGTTTGAACCGCTGCCAGAGATGCGGACAAAATTGTTGTACGGATGTGCTCCGTGAGTATACGTAATCATGAATTGTATTATTTACGTTTATTATTTATTATATGTATGTTCCTGGTGCATACCCCTATGAAGAGTTATGTACATTTAACGGGGTAATTCACGATGTCAGCATCGGAATTTATTAGGCGACGACATTCAGTGGAAACGAGCTCTCGATAGACTTGTACTAGAAATATGCCATTTCAACTAAAGAGCATATTTGCTTTTTATATTAATTTTCTGTGAGATTTCAGATGCTCTTTAGGATGAATCCGAGATAATTTCAAACATCGTGGCCTTTCCGACAATGCAAGACACTTAGATGTATTCAAGCCACACTATTGTTAAACGGCACCAGATTAGCATTGTACGGTTTACCAGAACCTGCAGATATTACAGTACAATTTGATCCTACGAGTATAAACATAGGAGCTGATAATATAGGGACAAGAAATGTACGAAATCCTCAATCATGAATGAAGAGCTATCTGCAATGCAGTAATGACTGCAGTTTATGATAATAACGAATCAAACAGGATCCGGCAAATCATCCCTATTTCAAACCTTAAAATCTCAAAGATACGAGGTCAAGAACAACCCTTCTGAAA